CGGGGTTGCCTAAGGTACTCTCGGGGCATGAGCGATCAGGGTGATTATTGACTGACTCACTAAGTTCTCTCATTTTCTAGCCATCAGAATGACTGATCTCTTGGACAAATTAGCTAGAATCTATATTCGGGAGATAGTCAAACATATGGAGTTCTGGTTACAGTGGTATTAGATAGGGACCCCAGGTTCACCTCTCGATTTTGGACAAGTTTTCAATAAGTAATAGAGATAAAATTGTCTTTTAACACAACATTCAATCCTTAAATAAATAGATAATCAGAGCGAGCCATTCGCACACTGGAGGATATGTTCAGGGCTTGTGTTCTAGATTTCTAAGGGTACTGGGATTGGCATGGCTCCATATGAGGCATTGTATGGTCGACCTTGTAGATCGTCGATCTGTTGGAAAAAGGTTGGTAACAAAAAATTGATTGACCCAAATCTTGTAAATGAGACCACAGCGAAGTTTACTAAAATCAGGAGAAATATCCAGACAGCTCAGAGTATATAGAAAAGTTATGCGGATACCCAAAGAAGAGATTTGGAATTTAATAAAGGCGATCGAGTGGTCATTAAAATTACCACCTTTAAGGGTATTACCAGGTTTGAAAAGAGGGGGACATTGAACTCCTGGTTCATCGGACCATTTGAGATCTTGAACATGATTGAGATATCTGCTTACATGCTAGCACTACCTCCAGAACTATCTAGAATCTATAACATATTTCATGTATCAATACTACGCAAGTACAACCCTGGACCCCTCATATGTCTTGTCTTACCAGCCACTTCCACTTCATGATGATTTATCTTACGAGTAGCTATCGGCTGGTATTTCGGACTAGAAGAGTAGAGTACTTCGCAACAGAAAAATTCTTTTCATTAAGGTCCTATGACAAAACCATTTGTAGGACGAGACCACTTGGGAGTTGGAATCAGACTTCAGGGCCTAGAATTCTTAATTATTTTACTAGTGTAAGAGCAGCAATTTAAGGGACCAAATTTTCTTAAGGATGAGAGAGTGTTAATACCTCGAGCTTAGGATTTAGGCTCAGGATGATTAAATTTATACTAATAATAATTTTAGAAATTTTTAGTTTTAATTTTTGCTTAAATCTTTGAAGAAATATGCATTATGGATATATTTGAAAATAATTTTCAAAAATCGAGGTCAAATAATTAAAAAAAAAATGCAGCCATATGGGACGGCCATGTCGACAGCACGATGAATCGTTGAGCGCCACGTGACAGACACACTAACACGATTCCACATGGGAAGCCACACGGGTGATTCGCGTGCTAGGCCGATCGAACGACTCAAGGCCTCTCCTGCGCGCATGGACGATTGAGATCAATTCCTCGAATAGACTCGACTGAACAGCCTACGTGCCTATGATCTGATGGTCCATATCGCTTTTTCCTTTATGCGTAATTGAACAGTCTATGTCGCTCCACGTGTCCTTACACAGACGGCCCATATTGAAGCCGAAGAGGTATTTAAACCTCACTACCTGGCTCCCCAAAAACCTAGCTGTCATGACCATTAGAGAAGAAGAAGAAGGGAAGGCGAAAAACGAATCAGTCACCAGAGGAAAGGAAGCCAGCCACCATCGTCGCCGCACCGGAGGCCAAATCGACGCCGAAATGTGAGTTTTTTCTTCCCATTTGCTTCACTTTTTGATTTTAAACCATCTCAAACCCTTATCGGTGCTGAAAAGTCAAAAGAGAAACTGAAAATAGAGGGCAGAGCTCAGCCGAACCACCGCACCTGAAATCGAAAAACCCATCCGGTGAGCCCGAATCCTCTTCCTGTTCCCTTTTGTTTTTTGGCCATTAGTTATCTAACGTATTTTCAGTGAAGGCAAATCGAAGGAGAACAGTGATCGCAAGTGAGGAACGACAGAGCCACCACACCGGAAGCCCCAAACCGCCAGCAAATTTCAGTTTTCCTTGTTTTTCCACCAACAGAGGCTACCTAACCCCAAATTTGACAGGTTTTCGGCCAAGGCTAGCCTGACCAAGAGGAGCAACCACCGTAGGCACGGAAGTTGACACTAGAGCACCACATCGGAAGCCCCAAACCGCCGGCAAATTTTAGTTTTCCTTGTTTTTCCACCAACAGAGGCTACCTAACCCCAAATTTGACAGGTTTTTGGCCCGGGCTAGCCTGACCAAGAGGAGGAACCACCGTAGGCACGGAAGTTGACATTAGAGCACGACAGCGGCACTGTGCTAGAACCCTAAACCAACCCTTGGGAGAAGTTTGACCTTTTTGGCTGTTTTTCGCATATTTCTATGATATTTGACGTATGCTTTGGTTTTTACAGAAAAACTCAAGAAAGTCGGGAATCAGGAACTGCCGAGATGTGTAGTGGGAAAAGTGGTGTTCCAGACACCGACTCAATATAAGAATCCTTCATCCTTTCTCCCGTTACGGTGAAATTAAAGTTAAATAAATAATGAATGGAAAATTATAAATGTTGGAGATCCCTTGATTAATTAAATATAAGTCACTGATGGAGCTAGTAAGCGGTCAGTGTATAATTGCCCATATCTCATTTATGTTGCTTATTTGTTGTAATTTTGCTTTATTTGCCTACTGTTACCTCATGTACTTTAATTTATTGATTTTAATTACTTTTCTTATTTATTTAGTTTACTTAACCATTTTCATCCTTATCCGTTAATTTAGTTTGAATCAAATGTTTTAATTACGTTTTCTTGAATCATTGGGTCTTAATTTATATCGCAT